ATCGTCCTCGCCGAAGCGGTTTCCTCCGCCTTGGCGCATCCGGGCCAAGTCCTCGTCCGTGGCCTCAGCGGGAGTGCGGAAGCCTTCCTCAGGAATTGCCCTCAAAGGAGTGTGCTGCAGAGGCTGCGGGTTGGGGTCCTCGCTGGCTCGTGATGAACGTGGTGGCCTTGCGGTCCGGCTGGTCCAGGGGCAGCGGCTCATTCCGCTCCAGGTAGCCCACCACCTGCTCAAAGCGCGGGCGCTGGCTGAAGCCGTGCGCCCGAAGTGTCTTCATTTACTGTTGCGCAACTTCGCCCGCTGCGCGTTCCACGCCCCTGCGCTCGGCGCGCGCGTAGCGCAGCTGAGGGACCTGGCGGTGCACTGCCTCCGTCAGCCGGCTCACGTCGTCCAGGTGCCGCTGCCCCTCCTGGGCTAGCCGGCGTTCCCCTAGCCAGGCGTTGAAGGCCTGCGCCTCCTCCAGCTCTCGCTGGCGCTTCAGCAGCAGCGGCTGCAAGTTGTAACTGGGGTACGTCCTGCGAAACCACTGGAGCATCTGAGGCTCGTTGCGAGGTTCTAGGGACATCATGCTTTTACACTAGTACGCTAGCGCCCGCCGTCAGCCGGTCGTAGGCCGACTGCCTCTCCAGCATGCGCATGGCGCGCTCGCTCGGACGAGGCGCTTCTACAGGCTCGGGCCGTACCTCCTCGGGCCGTACCTCGCTGTGTACCTCGGGCTCGGGCTGTACCTCGGGCTCTAACTGTGGCTCTAGCTGTGGCTCAGCCTTGGGCGCTGCCTTGGGCGCTGCCTTGGGCTTGGGGGCTGCCTTGGGCTTAGGAGCTGGCGTGGCAGCTGCCTTGGACGCAGCCTTGGGTGCTGCCGTGGGTGGTGTGTTGGGTGGAGCCTTGGGTGCAGCCTTGGGTGCTGCCTTGGGCGCTGCCTTGGGTGCTGCCTTGGGCGCTGCCTTGGGTGCTGCCTTGGACACGGGTGCTGCCTTGGGTGCAGCCTTGGGCGCCGTCTTGGGCTTTGTAGGAAATCTCACCCTCTTGGGACGGAGGCTCCGTGGGCAGGTCGTCGATCATTTTTTTTTCTCTTCGCCAGGTCGTCGATCATTTTTTTGCTCTTTGGCAGGGGCAGCTCGCGCGGGTGGCTTGGGGCTTGTTTTTGCTGCCCGGGGGCCTGCCTCTAGGCCTTGGCGCCGATTGCGCTTGCTTCATCGGTTTTTTTAATAGAAAATATTTTTTTAAAAGACCTTCGGGGGATTAGACGTGATCCAAAAACAGCACGAAGGACAACGACGAGCCCCGCAGTCGGACGACTTCCTTCGAGGTCTGTCAGCCGGAAGCGCAGGTGTCTCAGGGTGATGGGGCCCCTAACGGCCATGAAGTGCCCGTCATCGGAGCCGGTCTCCACGATGGTGCCCACGCCGCTCTTCAGCGTTATCTTGGACAGGATGTCGTCCCCCAGATTGCCCAGCACGCGGCTGGCGTTGGTGAGCTGGGGGCAGCGCAGGTAGACCTCGTTGTATGCCATCATCCTCACGAGTTCGAAGACCTGCTGCCCGCCAGAGACGAAGCTCGGGCCGAGCGTGTGGTCGATGCTGAAGGGCTTGGATGGCGAGGCGGCCGGCGAGGTGGGGTAGTCCACAGCGGCTGGGAACTGCTGCTGCAGCTCCAGATCGTTCAGAATGAGCCGGTTGCCGTCGTAGGCTACGCTCAGGCTGTTCGTGGTCTCGCTATACGCGGCAGTGGCGAAGTTGGAGCTGATCCAGGCGGCCAGCCGGGAGCCCGTGTAGGCGCCTTCCGGAAGGAGCGCCCAATTCAGCGTGCCGAGCGCGGCGTCCACCCAGTACAAGTAGCGGCCGCGATCAGTCGACAAAAAGCTGTCCGCGATTCTGATCTTATAGACAGCCAGCCTGGCGTCGCTCTGCAGGTGCAGAGACTCACCCAGGTCTACCTCAAAGTCGCTGTCCGAGCCGGCTACCCTCTTGCGGCTGTCCACATAGATCGTCGTCATTCTTTTCTTTAGGAAGCCACCTGTTCGGCGAACGATGGGTGGCTGCCTGAGGCGCAGGAGATGTTCTCGCACCTCGCATTCATGAGCGTAGAGCTAGCGAACAGCTTCTGGCCCAGGAAGCTGAGCGCCGCTCCCATCGGCTTCTCTTTCCAGTGCAAAACGCTCTTCGAAGCGCAAGTGGAACATTTGATTCTTTGGCTTGAGGTAGTAGACGAAGAGGAAGCTGTAGGGCTCCCGAGTCGCCTGCTCGTAGATCCTGTGCAGCTTGTCCTTCGGCAACAGGGCGCTCAGCTCTTCGATGACGGCGTCCAGCTCGTGCTGGTTGCGCAGCCTCCAGCAGCAGAGAAATTGCATGTTCACCCGCACGGCTGCGCTGATGAGCCTCAGTTTCTGGGAGCTCACCCAGGTGCTGATTTGCATGTGTCTGCCTCTGATGAAGAGCGTGTCCAGGGCGCCGTGGGCCTTGTGCAGCTGCGGGCTATCTGCGTAGTCGTCCAGGATAATCAGCACCTGGTAGAGTTTCTTCATCTCCAACTTCTTGGATGTCTCGGTGATCTTGCGCTGCCTCTGGATGATCCCCCGCAGCGCTGCCTCGTCCCACTCGTCGTTCCCGCTCGGTATTAACCCCCAGGTCCTCCTCTATGTACTTCTTTACAGGGACCCTGGTGCGGGCCTGGCAATCCTGTGTTGGGCACAGGATTGCAGCCTCAATCCTGCGCTGGCAACAGGATTGCTCCAGCCATTCCTGCGCCACACACGATTGCCCCGACGTCCCCCAGCAGCCGGTCCACGTGTGGAGCTAGCCTGGATTTGTTTCCCATGTACTTCAGCCGCATGCCAGCCTTTAGATTTATCCCGGTCTCACTGCCCGGCTTCCCAGCGTCGAATTTGGGAAGTAAGGCAAAGGACGTATGGGGAAGATCAAGCTGTTTCCTACAGCTGAGTATAGCAGTAAGCAGCCCTCGGACCCCGTGGTGCCCCTGGTACCATGCACAGGTATCTTCCTCGGCCCCAGCAAGTCCGGCAAAACCGTGGCGCTGATCAGCATGATTCTGGAGCAATACCGCGGCGTCTTCGAGAAAATCTACATATTTAGCCCTTCCATCAATATCGACGACAGCTGGCCCGCACCAGGCCCGCACCAGGCCCGCACCAGGCAATTGGAAGCTTGGGCCAGAAATCCGACTTCGGTGCCCGAGACCTTTTTAGGAACGGCTTTGAGACAAGCATATGACTACTGGCAGGATCAACCAGGATTTGCAAACCCATCGAAGCCGCGGAGCCGGCCTCGCTTTTCCAAGCCTTTTGCGCACTTTTCGGCCCCAAAGAGAGCGGTGACGAAGCGGTGACAAGCGGTGACAAGCGGTGACATGCTCGGCGGCTGGAATTCGCCGCTTTTCCGGCCCGAAAGCGGAAAACTGAGCAAAGTGGTCGTCTGGAGCCCGCTTTCCACCGAAAACCTGCAAATTTGGAGGCATCCCACTTGCAGTCCGACACGAAAACCTTCGGACTCGACCGTTTTGCACGGAGCCGGATGGAGCGGCATCAGTGGTGACAAGCTCGGCGGGCTGACGTGTTAGAGACCGGTGACTTCGGCGGTGACAAGCTCAGCGGGCTGACGCGTTACGTGGAAGAACCTCGGCAGGCTGACGTGTTACTCGGAAGCACCTCGGTGGGCTGCCGCGTCAGACACTGGCTGACTCTGTGGGTGTGCCTCGGCGGGCTGACGTGTTAGAGACCGGTGACATCGGCGGTGACAAGCTCAGCGGGCTGGAATTCGCAGGTTTTTCAAGGCAGAATACGGATTTCGGAGCACTGCAAACACCTGTAAGGTTTTCGGCGGAAAACAAGCGAATTTGGAGGCCCAGGCAGCACTTTTCACGCCGGACACGAAAAACGCACTTTTCGGAGTTCGCCGTTTTCAGCGCTTTTTGCGCCAAAAACGGAGTGGTGACAAAGACCGGTGACATCGGAAAAACGTTCAGCGGGTTGAAGAATTTGGCTGTTTTGCAGGGTTTTGAGACCCAAATCCGAAAATTAATTGGGGGGTATAAGCCTTCTTTCCTTACTACTAACTTCGTGGTCACGACAGACCTGGGCAACGAGTTCGCCACGCTGGACCGGGAGCTGCCCGCGGAAGCCGTGCACCGGACGAAGCGGCCCGAGGACCGCAACGCCATTGCCGTGGTGGACCGGGGCATCCAGACGCTGAAGAAGGACCTGGCCACGCGCGGGGCCCGCAAGGGCGGTTAGTGGAGCGACCACTTTCAGCAGACCGCTTCGGCCTACAACGCGCGGCCCCACGAGACGGTGCACGGCGCCCCGGAAGACGTGGAGAAGCAGCCGGCCACGAGTTCGGGTCCTCCAAGACAACGCCGACAAGTTCCAGCACAACAAGGACCTGACAAACCGCCGCATCAAGGCAGTGGAGGACGCGGGCGCTTTCGACGGCGAGGAGCTTCAACCCTCAGTACGGCGACGTGCAGCAGCTGCGGGCCGTGGACTCCATGACCGTCCGGAGCACCGAGGGCCGGGAGACCCTGCTGAAGCTGGCGCTGCCGGCGCCCCAGGGCAGCGGCAACGCGGCGGGCCGACTGACGAGGCGGGGCAGGCCGGCAGCTGTCAGGCAGCTGGACGACTTCCTGGCGCCTCCAAGGCCCAGGACCCTCGACTGATTACGGCTACTTTGGACCAAACCGGAAACTTTGCATAAAGCGCTGGAAACTTGTACTTTGAGTCTGTTTTTGGGGGAACCCTAGCATGATTTTCCTGAGAGCACCCCTCTCGGACGACATCATTATAAAAATCTAAATCCCCATTTCCGTGTCCTCGACCTATCGACCTGCCCGAGCAAGACGTCGAGACCGCAGCCTCAGGCATTGAGGCATCTAACAAGGGTTGGACATCTGAGGTGCGCTCAAGACAGCAAGGGTTGGACAGCGTTTTCCTTGCGCAAGCACGCCATCTGTTCACTGCAAATGGCTGACACTGTACGTCACCCAAAAGCCTAAGAGCTACTTGCCGATCGGAGCTTCACACCCACCATGCGCTCATTTTGCTTGAGGGTGGAGATGTACCGCGGGCCATAGGATTGTCCTTTGATCCCCAACTTCGAGATCACGCTCTTTGCCGCGCCCAAGGTGTCGCTGAGGTAGGTCTTCAGCGCCATCGTCAGCTCCGTGTGGAGGCTTGCTTCCTTCAAGGGCACCAGCTCACACATCTCTGTCATGAAGGCCTCGGGTTTGGCCTCCTCGTCCTTGTCTGCACATGGGACCAGGTCCATGGCGCTCATCTTCATCTCCGGGGGCTGCGGCTTGATCTCGGTGCCTGGGTTGTACTCCATCTCCAACGAGTCCACGAGATTTGCCGCAAGGAAGAAGATGTACTTGTTGAACTCTCCTCGGTTTATCCGGGTCTTGAGGCCATCCACGGCTCGCTCCTCGGTGGCCATGGACGGCTTCAAGGTGAAGCTGACCGTTATCTGGCAGACTCGAAGCCGCCGCAGCATCCCATCCGGTCGAGTCACACGGGGAGGGTGATTGCTTGTTGCCACCAGCAAAGCCGTAGGCATGAAGTCCCGGGGACCCTTGTTGAGCTTCCTGCTGCAGACTGGCGCACCTTCCATGTCACAAAAGGGCTTGATGAAGTCATCCGCCAACGAGTAGTGCTCGGGGACTTCCCTGGCCCAGGCCAGCCGCTTGCCTAGAGTCCTTGCATGGTAAGGCGCGGGTCCGTCCTTCGCGGTCAGGTAGCGAGTCTGTTGCACCACATAGTTTCCCGGAAGCTGCACCCCGTAGTTGTCCTTGCCGTGACCGAGGAAGGCGTGCAACATCTTCACCTTGGTGTCCTTCCCGGAATCCTGGCTTCCCCAGATGTAGTACATCTCGCAGAACCGCGGCGTCGCGGAGATGGCCCTGGTCATCAGACGCAGCTCGTAAAGGACGGAGTCCCAGTCCCCGTACACCTTCATGTGGCGGAGGATCTCGCACCCGTCCTGCTCCAATTTCTCGAAGCACTCGATGACCTGTTTGCCATTCTCGCTGGCCTTGAGCAGACACACCCCCGTCTCCAGATGCTCCTTCAAGAAAGCCAGGATGTGCTCGAAGAGCTTGGTCGCCTTGCTCGGCTGCCACATCTGAAGCCCATGTCGGCGGGGATCGGTGATCGGAGGACACGCTCCTTGAAATCGTAGAGCATGCCGTCGCAAAAGAGGATCGTCGCCGTCAAGGTCCGCCATCTGCGGGCCTGCCAGACGCACATCTTGCACATCAAGTCTTCCACGGTCTGGCCCAAGTCGTCCCGGTTTTGCACCAGCCAGAAGCCTCCCTTCTCGAAGCTTTCGTAGGTGGTCCTCTTCTCACCCCCCTCCACCGGAACGTGTCAACCGGGACCAGCTGCGCCGCCGCCAGCTTTGCAAAGTCCACGGTGTTTGCCCTTGCCCGTCCAAGTATGAGGGCCCCGATGCCGTCGTGCTGGTGGTTGTTAAAGACCCTGCCCGCTGCCGCCGCCATCTTCTCCATCTGCAAGGCCCCCGAGGCAGTGGAGCGGCCCTGCTCCGTGTGCCAGTCCTTGGCCTTCTGTGGCAGCAGCTCAAAAACGGCCACGTGGTAGAGACGCGCCGCCGTCTCGAAGCCGTAGAGCCAAGCAGCCACCTCGCCGCGCTCCCCCTCATCCGAAGCCAAGGGTATGTCCTGCAGCACCTTGCTCGTCCAGTTTGCAAAACCACCCCCAAAGCCCAGGGCAATCATCAGCTCCTTCGCCACGCTGTGCCAGCGGGCCTCGGGCTTGTGGAAGAGCACGCAGGCGATCTGCGCAAGCTTCTCTCACGGTGGTCCAGGTACTCCGCCATGATGGGCGGCAGCGGCTTCTATCGGTTCAAGAGCTGGAAGAACGAGTTCTTGATGTCCAGCTTGACGGATCCAAGGCGATGCCACGCAATGTAGCGGACCAACTTCTTAAGGCAAACGCAGAGCGCCCCACGGAACCCCCATCTCGATCTCCTTGCGAATCTCCGGCGGCAGCTGCTTCATGAACTCTGCCCGAGCGGAATCCACGGCGCCCTCATTGCCTTTGCGCTTTTTGGCAGGCGCCTCGTGTGGGCACCCGACCGATGATCCGCCCCTTCAGCCCTGGGCGCAGGAGCACGGGAATCCACCCAATGCCGTCCTGGTCCACATTCACAGAGCGCTTGAACAGGCAAAGAGACTGTGGTCAGGGCATCGCCGCACGGCGTCGAGCTGCAGAGCTAATGGTGAACACGTCCGTCCGCTCCCAAACAAGGCGATGGTGTTTTAGATTATCCTTGGGAGGCTCGGTAAACTGCTCCTTAAACTGCGTGTAGTGCCCCAGTTGGGCGGGTGTCGGAAGCTCTACCTTCTCCTCTACCTCCTCCACCTCCTTCTCCTCCACCTTGACCTCCGTCTCCATCTGCTCCGCCGGCTCCTCCGTCTCCGGTGTCTCCGTCTCCATCTCCATCTGGGCCTCGACCGGCTCCTTGACCGCTCCTCGGCCGGCTCATGGGCCTCCGTCTCCTCCTGGGCCTCCGTCTCCTCCTGGGCCTCAGCCGGCTTTTCGGCCGGCTCGTGGGCCTCCGTCTCTGCCGGCTCATGGGCCTCCGTCTGCTCCTGGGCCTCCGTCTCCTCCTCGGCCTCAGCGGCTTTTCGGCCGGCTTGTGGGCCTCCGTCTCTGCTGGCTCATGGGCCTCCGTCTCCTCCTGGGCCTCAGCCGGCTTTTCGGCGGGCCTCCATCCTGCCGGCTCATGGGCCTCCGTCTGCTCCTGGGCCTCCGTCTCCTTCTGGGCCTCAGCCGGCTTTTCGGCCGGCTCTTGAGAGCCTCCTTTCAAAGATGCGTTGGAGCTCCCGCACCAACTCAGCTTCCTTGAGGTTGGCATTGTTGAGGTTGCGCCGACGGAGAAGGCCGTCACAGAAATTGATGACCTCTGCGGCGGTCTCCACCGGACGCACAGCGCGCGGTGCAGAAGCCCTCAGCTCAGTCATGGGCCGCTGGCGAGTAGCGTCTGGATTACTGACGACCGCCAAGCTCTTGATGCTCTGCATCTTACCGAAGGCCTCTCCAGCGCGGGGGTCCGTGCACTTGGCGAGAGGTGCGGCTTCAGGATCTTCCCCGGCCCTGCGTCGTCCTGCAGATGATGCACTTGGTGCACCCGGACAACTCGATGCGTTGGGCTCAGCACGAGCTGCACCGCCAGGGACCGCGCGGCATCCATGGTCATGGTAGGTGTCGAAAGCTAAGTTCCTTCTGAGAAAATGCTTCAAAAGATAAAGATGGCACGTCCCAGCAAGTACCCGAACGCTTGGCAATGACTGGCAACCAGGCCCCGGACATTCGGAAACAGCAGCCGAAGTCGAAGGCGTCTGAGCGGCAACTCCACCCGGTCCTGGAGATGCTTGTCAAATGGCCTAGTTCTGTGCCCCCCTGAGGCGGTTTTTTATTTATATAAAAATCTAAAAGGCGGTTTTATTTATATAAAAATCTAAATGCTTCGATCCCTCGTGCTTCGATCCCTGGCATCCCGTGCTTTCTGTGCCCCCCTGAGGCGGTTTTATTTATATAAAAATCTAAATGCTTCCATCCCTGGCATCCCGTGCTTTCTGTGCCTCCCTGAGGCGGTTTTTTATTTATATAAAAATCTAAATGCTTCCATCCCTGGCAGGTTGTCTCCCGTGCTTTCTGTGCCTCCCTGAGGCGGTTTTTTATTTATATAAAAATCTAAATGCTTCCATCCCTGGCATCCCGTGCTTTCCGTGCCGCCCTGAGGCGGTTTTTTATTTATATAAAAATCTAAATGCTTCCATCCCTGGCATCCCATGCTTTCCGTGCCCCCCTGAGGCGCTTTTTTTCATATAAAAATCTAAATGCTTCAATCCTGGCATCCCGTGCTTTCTGTGCCCCTTGAGGCGGTTTTATTTTTCTAAAAAAGCAAATGCTTCAATCCCTCTGCAGGCAGTCTGACAAGGAATGCGAGCGTTTAGGTTTTATATAAAATATAAACTTTTTTTTTTAATCGAAACACTTCCTCGCGGCTTGTCAAATGGCCTAGCTCTGTGCCCCTTGAGGCGGTTTTATTTTTCTAAAAAGCTAAATGCTTCAATCCCTCTGCAGGCAGTCTGACAAGGAATGCGCGCGTTTAGCTTTTTATATAAATTAAAAACTTTAATTTTTTTAAAAAAGAAAAGAATACTTCCTCGCGGCTTGTCAAATGGCCTAGCTCTGTGCCCCTTGAGGCGGTTTTGTTCATATAAAATCTTAATGCTTCAATCCCTCTGCAGGCAGTCTGACAAGGAATGCGCGCGTTTAGCTTTTTATATAAATTAAAAACTTTAATTTTTTTAAAAAAGAAAAGAATACTTCCTCGCGGCTTGTCAAATGGCCTAGCTCTGTGCCCCTTGAGGCGGTTTTGTTCATATAAAATCTAAATGCTTCAATCCCTCTGCAGGCAGTCTGACAAGGAATGCATGCGTTTAGTTAGTTTTATATAAATTATACATGTATTTTTTTAAAAAAAAGAAGAAGAAAAGAATACTTCCTCGCGGCTTGTCAAATGGCCTGGGTCTGGCGCTGGGGGGAGGTTTGGGCAGTGCCGAGTGTAGGATTAATACTGCTTCGCCCAACGACCTGGAACTCAGCTCCGTGCGCTTCGCATGTTGGCATCCCTATATCACACACCTCAAGGATGAGGATGGCTTTTTTATTTATATAAAAATCTAAATGCCTGTGTGCCAAGTCGAAGGTGTCTGAGCAGCAGCGGCTCGATTTATTTATATAAAAATCTAAATGCCTGTGAAAAACCGCCTCAAGGGGGCACAGAAAGCACGGGATGCCAGGGATCGAAGCATTTAGATTTTTATATAAATAAAAAACCGCCTCAGGGGGCACAGAAAGCACGGGATGCCAGGGATCGAAGCATTTAGATTTTTATATAAATAAAAAACCGCCTCAGGGCGGCACGGAAAGCACGGGAGACAACCTGCCAGGGATGGAAGCATTTAGATTTGTATATAAATAAAAAACCGCCTCAGAGGGGCACAGAAAGCACGGGAGACAACCTGCCAGGGATGGAAGCATTTAGATTTTTATATAAATAAAAAACCGCCTCAGAGGGGCACAGAAAGCACGGGAGACAACCTGCCAGGGATGGAAGCATTTAGATTTTATATAAATAAAAAACCGCCTCAGGGGGCACAGAAAGCACGGGAGACAACCTGCCAGGGATGGAAGCATTTAGACTTTTATATAAATAAAAAACCGCCTCAGGGGGGCACAGAAAGCATGGGATGCCAGGGATCGAAGCACGAGGGATCGAAGCATTTAGATTTTTATATAAATAAAACCCCCTCAGGGGGGCACAGAGCTAGGCCAGTTGGGCGAGCCAGTATCAAACGAGGTTGGGCGAACCCGTACTAAGGGTCGTTGGGCGAACCCGTACTAAGGGTCGTTGGGCGAACCCGTACTAAGGGGGCCGTTGGGCGAACCCGTACTAAGGGGGCCGTTGGGCGAACCCGTACTAAGGGGGCCGTTGGGCGAGCCAGTATCAAACGAGGTTGGGCGAACCAGTACTATGGGCCGTTGGGCGAACCCGTACTATGGGTCGTTGGGCGAACCCGTACTAAGGGGGCCGTTGGGCGAACCCGTACTATGGGCCGTTGGCCGAACCCGTACTAAGGGGGCCGTTGGCCGAACCCGTACTATCCTACGTGCCCGCTCGGCACCGTGCCCGCTCGGCACCCCCTAAGTGCCTGCTCGGCACTGTGCCTGCGCGGCACCCCCTAAGTGCCCGCTCGGCACTGCCTACTCCTAATCTAGAGTGCCCGCTCGGCACGTTTACCTAAAGTGCCCGCTCGGCACTCCTAAGTGCCTGCTCGGCACTGTGCCTGCTCGGCACTCCTAAGTGCCCGCTCGGCACGTCTAGGTGCCCGCTCGGCACCCCCTCCCGCCCCACCCCCTCTCTCCCCAGGTCCCGACCGCTGTTTTCACAGATCGGCTCGATGTCGCCTCGCTCACACCTCCATCCTGCGCCGGTGGCATGACAAGATGCTGACAAAAAAACTCACAAAGCAGGAGCCTCACGCAGGCCCAGATGAGGACTTCCCCTGGGGCAAACTGTGGATTACGTGCCAAAACACTGTGTCATGACATGAGCGGCCTTGGCCGGGGGCTCGCCCTTCGGCTTTGGAGCCGGCTCCGCCTGTCAATCAAAGTGAGCGATTGCGGAGTCCTACAACAAACCGATAGGGCCTTGGGGCGCTTGCTGGCCGGGACCAAAGCCTGTCAGGAAACAAGATCATCAAGGCCCAGCATCTCTCCCAACCTCGAGATTCGCGACCTGGGCCCTGAGCTGCGTGTTGTCCAGATGCAGCGGCCCGTGATCAGCCTGCCCAGGTCACGCATGAAAAAAACAACCAGCACCTGCGCGCTCCTGGTACGAAGCTGTCCACCTCCGCTCCGCGGCCAGCTCCGCGCAAAACCTGGTGTTCTCCTGAACCTGGCAAAAAAGGAAGTGCATACAAAAAAAAAAGAAGCCTCCCCTGACCTTCTCGTAGAACCGCTTCTCGAGGGCCTCCTGCCGCAGAGCAAAAACAAGAGAGTTGACAAGCCGGCCACAGCTCCTTCTCCGACTTCACCTCCTTCAGCTCCTCCTCCAGCTTCTGGATGAGAACGTCCTGCGGCCAAGTGTAAGCAAACCTCATCAACTCGCTCCGCAAAAACCTCGCCTTCACCGCCAGCTCCTTGCGAACGTCATCCTGCAGCCAGGAGCGTGCACGCTAACGACAACACCGAGTCTCTCCTTCCAGGAGTTGAAGGCCTTCTCCCTCTTCACCTTCGACGGCGGCCTTCAAGTGGCGAGATGACGCAAACGCGTGAAAAAAAATCAGGCCTGCGAGGCACCTTCCACCCGGAGCTGCCGGCGCCATCCCACTCCACCTGACGTGGAAAAAAAGGGGAAAAAACACGAAGGCGAGTCGGGCCTGGTGCGGCCCATGCGGATGCCACTCCACCTGGCGCGGAGAAAAGGGGGGAAAACACGAAGGCGAGTCGGGCCTGCGGCCCATGCGGATGCCACTCCTGCGGCGGACACCACTCCACCTGACGTGGAAAAAAAAGGAAAAAACGAGGGCGATTCGGGCCTGCGGCCCATGCGGCGGATGCCACTCCTGCGGCGGATGCCACTCCTCCTGCCGTGGAAAAAAAGGGGGAACAAAACTCGAGGGCGAGTCGGGCCTGGTGCGCTCCATGCGGCGGAAGCCACCCCTGCGGCGGACGCCACTCCTCCTGGCGTGGAAAAAAAAACAAGGAAAGACGAGGGCGAGTCGGGCCTGGTGCAGCTCATGCGGATGCCACTCCTCCTGTCGTGGAAAAAAAGGGGAAAAAATCGAGGGCGAATCGGGCCTGGTGCAGCTCATGCGGCTGACGCCAATCCTCCTGGCGTGGAAAAAACAAGGAAAAAAACGAGGGCGAATCGGGCCTGGTGCGTCTGACCCCACTCCTCCTGACGTGGAAAAAACAAGGGGAAAAAGGGAGAAAAAACACGAGGCCAATTCGAGCCAGCGGCTCCCATTGGCCCCAGCATTCCTCCTGACAGCAACACACCCATAAAAAACCGGCACGAAAAACTTCGAATGTCCTCCGTGACTCCACTCATGGCCGGGGCGCTGATGCTGATGTTGCTGCTGTTGCTGCTGCTGTTGATGCTGATGCCCGAGTCGTGACCTGTTTGCCCCGCTACCCGAAGCCTTGCCCCGAAACCTTGCCCCGCTACCCGAAGCCTTGCCCCGCTACCCGAAGCCTTGCCCCGCTACCCGAAGCCTTGCCCGAAACCTTGCCCCGCTACCCGAAGCCTTGCCCCGCTACCCGAAGCCTTGCCCGAAACCTTGCCCCGCTACCCGAAGCCTTGCCCCGCTACCCGAAGCCTTGCCCGAAACCTTGCCCCGCTACCCGAAGCCTTGTCCCGCTACCCGAGCCAGTGCTGTTGCTGGTGCTGGTGCTGTTGCTGGTGCTGGTGCTGTTGCTGTTGCTGTTGCGCTCGAGCCCTGCCCGCAGATCAAGTCCGATTACGGCACAGTCTGCTTGCAAAAAAACACCAAACGGGTTTGCGTCATGCAAGCGCCCCCGAAGAGGTATTTTCCATTGGTGTCCTTGTCAAGAACCCAGATTTTCAATGAATAGATTGCGCCAACTTTGATTCAATGGTCGTGTGGGACAGAATGGGGAATC